TTTTTCTCTGTGATCTAATGGCAAATCAAATGCGATGTGAATTACCGTGTTAGTCCTTCTTTATCTGTGTTGTATTTCAGAGCATAAATATCTATAATTAGTCTATTTCTTCATGTTTGGAATCTTATGGAGGCATTATTTATCACGACCAACACAGGGTCTTTCGAGTTACACGTAAGTGCATATTGTTTTCCCCTGTGCAGCCAGTGTGTTTGTAGCACGTCCCGTTTGAGAACTGGCTAGGTTGCCTGAAACAGGTAGGCTAATTTTTCCCAATTTGACCAAGTAAAGTCTGTTTTAAGATGTTCATCTGGTCTGGTGGCCGTACACATTCAAGAAACACATGAGGAGGNATCTATCTTGACTTCAGATCAGTTTGAACGGCAAGTCGGAAACCCATGTGAAAACCAAAAGTATATTCACCTTCCTAAACCCCGGGGAAAAATCCGAGGAATTCACTGTAAGCATCACACTTCCTTCACCGGATTCACTGAGTTGATTTAGGCCCTTGGTGCGGTCTACTCGTTCGATATGAACAATGTGGCCTTAGAGATTTGGAACTACAAGGGTATTTTCTTAAATCGTTGATATTTTTCAGAAAATCGGTTTTTCCCTATTCCGTCAAATTCTACGCGTTCCGATCCAGCGTCGCTGAAACATTCCTCGGTCACTTCATACACGAATTACGGTATGCATTCTTGTCGCCCAATTCACACCTGTCCAATACAGCTGATGAGTGGCTACAAAATTATGTGGATTGGAGACAGTTCCCGGTCCATTTGTTTCCTTCGGTGAGCTGTGTGTGGTTTAGTATATGGGTCATTTTAGCCTTGATACACACAGCTTCCTTCAACAATTTCAACCCGATTAGAGGGTATTGACTTTCGGCGAGGTACCGCAAATCCAGATATTTTAGATACTCTCAGTCAGCCGCATTTCCCTTGGTTACCTGACTGAGAATACTCAAAATAATTGAGTTTTATTTTATCTTATGAATACATATATATATATATATATATATATATATAATGTGTTCTTGTGTTGCACTAGATAATCATTTTGACACCGGCCATTCCTGCATTTTGGTTGTAAGACAGCTAAAAACGTTCATTGAAAATAATTTTCCGTTCATTGGTGTTGTTTCACCGCTCCCCGCTCGTTTGCCATGCAGGGAAATCCATCTCGCAAAGGATTTCTGAGAACACGCTGGCGTCTCAATGGAATGGTCTTGGAGATGGTCAATATTCATCTATTCAATGACTCGTGCAATTTACAATCTCTGAAAGAGGTATGTTCAGTTTGCTCTGATCAGGCAAAAGTGAAAGGCTATGCTGTAGAAGCCCCTCGAGGGCACGGGATGCGTTGCTTTTTTTACCGCTTTCATCAGTTATCTGCACATAATTTTTCTCTTTCTCTGTCTAACTGAGACTCGATCGGGATCAATAAATCGGTTACTGTTTTTCTGTGTGAATGTCTATATGAATTGTCGCTTGAGCGGGTTCAGGCTGGTCCCTCAATATCTTAGCGGTAAACTACTTCAAGGCCAAGGTTCCCTCAAATATCACCTGTTTGCTTTTTAGAATCGAGTGTGATAGTCCGTATGCTGTCTTTATCATCTCTTGAGAAGATTCTGTGATGTGGATTGTACACTGGAAGTCCGTTCCAACGATCACGTGATGCGCAATTCCCGAAGGTAACAGAAGACGAGAATGTCTTGACAGATGGTACTTTTGTAGGCAACGAATGATTGATATAAAATAGGCACAAATCCTCGAATTGTGAGTGTGTGTTTGAATTGTCAATGCACAATCCAATGATAGAATGCGTCAAAGTAGAACGGCATTTTGTGGTGTCCAAAGAACCCGTCGATTACGGTCAAAACGTTCGACTGTGAACGACCGCAGATGGGTGCACAGTTCAATCAAAGTCAACGATAAGAATGCCTTAGGTGCCTGACAGTCTGACAGCAATCAAATAAAAGGGAAGCAAAATACCAATTACGTGAGGGGCGGGGACAATGAACTTGTGTGTGTATCGATCGGTGGACCGGTGGATGCCAAACGGGTTTATTTGGTAGTACAATTAAATAGCAAAGTATGATGTTCACTCACGAGTGCTGAAAAGTTAGATGTTACAATGCTTCATCAAGCCACTACTTGAATGAATCGATGATGGTTGTTGGATCACGAAAGTTCCAGGTATTACAAACTCAGGCTGAAAGAGTGACAACTGCAATCTAGCTAACTCTTTTGGAGCAAACGTTTTATTGGATATCCCTTAAGATGACCATTCCTGGATGGTGTCAGTAGAGTATTACATGGGTGGTTAGGTTGATGTATGTATAAATGATGCAACCTTTCAACGTTGGTTTTAGATTGTAACTCTTCGACCATTTTGATTGCTGGATTGTCTTTTGGTCGCGAATTAGTCATGAATTCCAAGCCTGTATAGCATACTCAGTACGTGGTCTGATGTATGCTGATAGCAAAGGGGGCAATCTAAAGTGCTTTATTTCCTTTGCTGACGCTCTGGCAAAATTTGTACAACATCCTAGATCCTCACGAACAATAAATACAAGATTCTTTTCGTTTGGGGCTAATTTCCAAGTATGCATAGAAAGCAATCTCTGTGGTACAACAATACAACCTTACATTTGTCAAAGTTGAATTCAATCACATTAGTTATAGACCAACGGATGGCTGTATCGAAAGTTTCCTGTACGGTTTCATTATCTTCCGGATGCTGTACCGTTTTGTTTTCTTTAGCGAATGATGTTGCCTTTTCTGCAGGAGAATCTGGTAGGTCGTTTATGAATGCTAAGGAAAAATACGGACTAAGCGCGAACTCTACTTGGAATTCCACCGATAGCCTCAGTTGGTTCCAATAGAGAACGATTAACTTGAACACCGTTTTTATGGAGCAGTAACGCACAACGGTTAACCCTGCGAAAAGCTTGGTAGAAGTCCAAATAGACTACAACTGTGGCTTCCCCTGGGTCGACTGGTCTTGTCCACTCATCTCGTGAAAGTAGTAGGTTTGTGGTGCACTATTGTGTTCTTCGAAATTCATGTTGGGCCGGAGAAGAAAGAATGTTACACTTCTCGAAATGGTCCATTAGCGAATCAGAAACAATTAACTTCATTACTTTTGCCAGAACAGGAAGAAGTGTAACTAAACGGTAGTTTGCAGGATCACTTCGGCGGCTACATTTGCAAATAGATGGAGGAATCACCGTGTTGCGGAACATGCTTTGGTATAAATGAGCAATTATTTCAGATATGTGGTTTGCCAAGGNGGGGGGGGGGGGTCAAAGTCCATAGGCGGACGTTGTCTTCCCCTTAGGATGAATTCTTATGTGACATCAATTATTTAGCTTTTACCGTTTCACATTCGAAGTTGGTTGGGTGCATGGGACACTTGGCAGAAGTAATGGAAACGCATCCTGCATGTCTTAATGCCGGTATTCAGTAGTACACTTTTCCGATGGTATTGATATCCTTGTATAGGAGCTTTGAATTGAAAACAAATTTATCTGCCAAGGATTCTTGAAACCTCCATTGATCCCCTCGCGTTAATTTTGCGTAAAGGTTTCTCAACATGATTTATCTATCCCAAGTGTCGGCAGCCGGACATCTTTTGAACTGTCGCCAAGTGAAATTCCTCTGTGACCATCATTTATTGTTTCGACTGTGAACAGGTGATAATCGTTTTGGTGATGTAGCGATAGGCTTGGTGTTTGTGGCCACCTTCGATTTCGCGTGTCAATGAATCTTTTCCAGGACCCTAATGGATTAAACTGTTCCTCCGGGGAAATCCGCAAATTTCGATTAAGATCACCCACTTACTGCGATGATTATGAATCATTCATTACGTATGACTGCCTAATTACTGGGCGTGGGTTGCGTCATCAACCAACGTCANTCACCAACCACTTTAGAATGTGTTCGGCCATCGGATATTTTTATTCTTACGAAGCGTGAACATTTTGAACCCCTTTTGAAAAAAATTAACTCTGTTCATCCGCGTCCTTCCGTTTTCCAAGAAGAAGAAACCAACAATTATTGGACATTATTAGATATTAGAATCACGAGTCGCTTAGGTGGTACATTACAGCGTTCTATCCACACAAAAAACAACATGAAATGGTTAGTATCTACAGTTCTCTTACTTCTCACCCATGACCCGTAAAATATCTGTTACATCGAGCCAGGAGCATTTGTGCCCCAGACACACTACGCGAAGAAGAATTTCTATAGAAAACGTTGCTACGAAGCGGTTGCCCCGAAAGAAGTGAAGTGGCCACTTCACAAGCACTGATGATCTCACCTCGGCTGATGATGAAACGTTTCCAAACAAATTGCCTAGCTCGGCGAACAGGCGAAATAGAATTCAGTTCACTCGAGCTTCGAAAACCGATTTTCAATGCACTTTGTCAACAGATTCATTGATATTCATAGCAAACAATCTCAAAAAGGTAACCCATCGCCAACTGCTCTCCAGAAAGCCGTTTATATCAAACTATCTTTTAAGGGCGATCACCTTCTGATGTGCGCCAAGAGTTAAATTCAGCTCTCAACCGCACATTCCCAACTGCTCAACTTCGACTTATTGTCTCTACTCGTTGAAATCGCAATAAAATCCCATAGACAATGTAGAAAACCTTATTCGCGGAGCAACTTCTTTTCGATATGTCGCATCAGGTGTTTACATATATAAGGTGATCATAATACAGATGTCTGATTGACCGATTAGAGAGCTCAGTTAGTAATGATGATAGGGGCGAACAAACTGATCGAAAAAATATGACAAGGCTAATGATAGTCGTGAGTGAGGGGTGAGAACACAATGGTCAAATGGGCAAACGTTCGAGAGATGAACAGATTAAATGAGCTAAGACTAGAGAGCGAGATAAAGTTACGTAATATACGGTAGAAACTATAGGTCATGCATAACAAGTGATGTAATCAGGAAAGGACATTGGAGACAAACAAGATGATTAGTTCCTAAGATTGAGGTTGGTGATACTATAGACGAGGAAAGAGGGACGGGGACGGTAGGGGGGTTAATGCTCTGTGAACAAATTCGATGCATTCAAAATTATTCACACTATACTCCGGAGATATTCCAAAGGGATAAGAAGGCGGCTTTTAACCACGGCCGAGGTGGTTGCAATTTGAATTTTCAATCCAGAATTATTTAAGCAAAAAAAGCTGATCTAGACACTGTTGTTGCCCTGGCCTGGACAGCGAATTGATTGTGCATAAAACAGAGCATCAAACACCCCCACCCTCTCAATTTCTCTGCAACCTCAGACCACTGAAATTCTCCATTTTCTGTTCGACTCTACTTTCAACCTTCCTGTCTTTCTCCTATTCTTCATGCAAATGGGCAGTCAAAAGACAGCAACCAAAACCGCCACACGAAGGTTAATGGTTGTACAAACTGAACTGAGACGGAGTTTGTTGGCAGAGCAATAGCATACAAAAGTTCACATTCGGGAACCCCGAGTTCAAACCCATGTTAGATCGGTGCGTTCGCTTCAACGATGCATTTAAAGGGATCGATATCAGTGAAAAAAGCCTTGGAATTGTGAATTGGAAATTTCAGGAATTCACATACCCAGTTCGGTCTCAGTAAGCAAAATTGGCAAATATCACTTCACTCCTGGGGCTAGGGGCGGAGCTTGCAAAGTTCAGCTTCATGCATCAGTTTTGTTTCTCCATTTCACTTGGGTGTGTTGTGTTTTCATTTTCCAATGATTACATCGAGATCCATCAGAACGCGAGAACTGCTGTGCCAAGTTGACGATTATTTGAACTGAATTTGCCGGATCTACATGGGACGAAGGCTATTTTGGTTGACGTAGTTATACGCTGCTGTTTGCATGATTACAAGTTGGATAGGGGACATGATTTCGTGTTCATCAATTGTGTGAGGGGCAGTGGGAAAACGTATGTACTTAGATAAAAAGAAATTTGCTGTATTCGCAAAGCAAACCACATGATGAAAATGTTTCTTTTTTTATAAAGCTTATTTCAACATGATTTGTTTGGCTCAAGGGATGCGGAACTAACCGTGGGTTACCTCTCAATTTTGAGCCTGTTGTATTTGGTTCTAGACATGAATATGTATGAATGTTCCAAACTATGTTTATGCGTATACGGGACGACAGACGAAATTTCTACGGGGACATTTGGCCGAGGAATGAGCATGTCAAGTTTTCAAGCATTCAGGGAAGTCAAAAAAAACTGGTCAGATATGCATGCTTTTTCTGTCCATAGGTACTGTCATTTTTAGCTAAACTACCCCTTACATAATTGTGAATGAAAAACTCATGTTTGAACGTCTATTACACGCATTTCTAATCCTAATCATGCTCGCGTGACTGTAATCGGACCGCTACAGTCTACCCCGTTGAAAGGAAGCATAACTGAAATGGGATAATCAGACTGACCGGGCCATTTGGGACCAGTAGTTCCATATCAGGTGGGGGGTGGAGGGGGGGGGGTAAGTAAAAGTGAAATCCCAAAGGTGAAAAATTAGCGAGGTGTATCTGGGACTGGGTTTTCCAAGTTGTCCTTATTGTATCTCTACTTGACCGTAGTGATCGATAAATCGATTTTCATTCAAATGAATAGAGCCATTCCTTGTGCACTGAAACAGTATCACACGCGAACAGAAGGAGTGAAAAACGGTTGTTCCACAACCGGTGGTCAAACAGATTCACGCTAC